GGTTAATTTGCTCGCTGCTTCACTTAAAAGTTAAAACACATATGCGAAAGAGAAATATGAGAGGGAAACTTTGTATTCAGAAATAAATCATTTTCTAGCAACTAAGCACCAAAAATATTTTCCTTGAAAAATATTATCCGTTAAAAGGAGAAAAACAAACTTTACTCACTTATGTTTCTCCTCCGATAATCCATTTGAAATAATTTCTAAACTTTAGATAGCATAGGAGACTATGAAACAATAAAGACAAAGAAAATAGTAGCTTTTTTACCCTAACAAGATAGGGTAAAATCAGCGTACACACTACCCTCTCCACTACCCTCTCCAGCTTGTGAGATTTTACCGGGGTTTGTTGTTGTTTGTAGTCATTGTACGCAATCAGATTTAACTTCATTATTTGAACAAGGTCTACAAGAAAGTATTCTATTAACTTTTTTACCAGAAATCAGATTGACCGCCCTCAAGCTTTTTCAAGCACATTAATTTTCTTCTTCAAAATAAAAGTCACATAAAAATGACCACCAAATACTATAACTTAATCATGTTCCATATGTACCACTTGAACGACCAGTAATTGAGCAAATAAATTACCCAATGCACTATCCGATCCACAGTTCTATTTACTACCTAATGGAGAATAATTTTTACCTTACTTTAGCCTGCTCATATCAAGCAACTGAAATGTCCTCTGTGAATTGGGGGGGGGTGCCAGTGCACAAGGAGGAAAAGGGGGAATCATATAACTCTTGGAACTTTTTAAAAAAAAAAAAATTGCTGCTAAATTTCTATTTTTGGAATCTTAAACCTTAAGCTTGGAGTCCTCTCTTCTTTTCATTGTATGATAAGTTCACAGTATAATCACTTCTTTTAGATGGGAAATCTCAACATACTCTGTTGCCAACAGTCTGGTATAGAGACCTTAGTTGTGTGTTCCATTTATCTATGGCAGTATACTTCTTCATCCCTTTTGAACTGCGTGCACGAACACGTCATGTAAAACAAGTTAGAAGTGAACTTAGGTCGCAATAAGCAAATTAATAATAGCAAATCAAGATTATTAATTGACCTGTCGCCACGCTCTAGCAGTCGGTTCACTTGATCAATGTGGCCATCAATCCGGTTATCCAAGATTAGTGAGACCAACAAGTCTTCAACATCCTTTTCCGGCACATTCAGCTCCTGCAGGTCAATCAATATGAGAAAACCAACTAGGAAGTGCAGTGCATCCGTTGGGTTAGTAACTGAATAATGCGATAAACTACAGGAGTAGCTCAGTTCATTGTTTCTTTATCACCCTTAAGGAGATCTGTAGCCAGTATGCATGTATCTTCAAAATATGAACATGTTGTAATCAAGTAGNAAAAAAACACCACACCCACCCACAAAAAAATTACTAAAAAATAGAGGCAATGAATAAGACAGAATATGATAGATAAGAGACAAAGGTCACCATGGGCAAGCGAAGAAAGGGAAAATGGAAGAAGCTCTAAGGTGCCCTAGCAAGAAAGACGACTGATAACTTTTCACCTTGGATATGAAGGGAATCCGGATTCTTGTGTAAGGCTTGATGAGCTTCAGTAAAACCTGGGTTCTGACATTCCTCAAAAGATCTTCAATGTAATTCCGAATGAATGGGTCATCCATTATTGTCCGTCTGTTACTCTGTTAAAATGTCGAGAAAAGCACATTCAAAATGATAACAAGAAACCAACTACAGACTGTAGGGCCAACAGGCAATATTGAAATTTAAAGGAAGGTACCTTAAGAATTTTCTCGAACTCCAAGATCTCATTTCGTTGGTATGCTGCGATAAGGTTTGTCATTGCCAATATCTCGGGGTCATTTTTGTAACTGAAAAATACAAACGCAGTCATGTACCGACACAATGCAGCTCTAGTCCAGTCACAAGAATGACAAAATGCTCATGTTGAATCTCGCAAACAAAAACTTCTCTCAGTATACTCACGGTTTAGCTTCTTGGCCATCAAAAGGGTTAACTTCAGATTCCATCAGCATATTTGCCAGAACCAAGTACCTAAGTGAAAGGAACCAAATGTAGTGCAACAATAGGTAAAGCAGAGGTTTGCAATGGTTAAGACATAAATGGAATTCGCATATTGTAATCTTCTGGTGGTAGGTGAATGTTCAAAGCAATCACCTAGTACTGCATTACAGCAATTGACATGTAGAGAGAACCATATCTGAGGCTATATCAAAAAATGAATTCAGAGTGTAAGAGTTAGAAACATCAGAGATAGTCTTAACTGTATTCATTTTTCTTTATATATACAAATATATATATCATGGTAGCTCAAGTCTAATCCAACCACCAAAAAGAGTGCAGAAATCTGCTATTGGTTACAAAAAGCACGCCATCGCATTTATTATTTCACTTACCACGTAACAAATGTGAGAATACTGGGACTGAACATGGAAACGGGAACTCTTGAGGAGCCTTCACAAAATACAAAAAAGCTCCAAAAACAGCATAACCTCAAAGTCTTAACAAGAACCTTTTATAAGATGTAATTGAAAAAACTTCTTCTTTTCTTTTGACAAGTACTTACGGAAAAACTTTCTACTATAGCTTCAATAGAAGTTTGTTAAATTATGAATATTTCAAAACAAACTGCTTTGATCATGCTTTTTAATCACATGATCTCCTATGTTCTTTAATGCAGCGACCACGAGCTACAGCTTGTTGCAATCTGTAATGCAGATGTCCAGGAACTAGCAGACTAAGACTACATTAAAAATTTCAATTTTGTTGCAGTTTTATCTTCTCTTGTGTCCTTAGCAAGACGAAAGTGGAAATGCAAAAGGAAGCAAATAAATGCACATACATGATACAACCTACGCATATGAAGCACACACAGGAAGTACAGCACACATACTTTAGGCACTGGATACGCCTATGATTCCCAGCTTCATCATAGTTCTTGAAAGCTTCAAAGAAGTCTGTAGCTGCCTCTGCCCACTTCCTCTCTGCCATATGCATTTTACCTCCACATTCGCGAATGATTCCCATTATTCTTGGATGAGGGATTGCTGACTTGACTGAAAGTGCTTTGTTGTACAGTGCCTGGGATTAGACTCATATTATTTATGACTTAGGGATTGAAACAGCAGCTTATCAGTTCAATCTATGTTGCTAAGATCCTCCAAAAAAACGACGGGTGCATGTCGGGTCCTCCAAAAGAAAGTTATGCATTTTTGGAGGATCCGACACATGTGAGTTGGTATTTTGGAAGCTCTGAGCAACATAGACTTCAAAGAGAAATAAATTAAGGAACAAATGACATGTCAAGAAAGTTTTAAAGCAAGCAATCTCCTCTATAATGTAATGCGACTGGATAGATGCTTTCAAGATATTAATGCCAGAATAAAAATCAGAAAGTTAGAAGTTCTGGTCATACTACAGATATATACTCTGAATCGATACAAACAAATCAGGGTCTTTTTTGGCCCCACTAAAAATATCAGAAAGTTAAAATATGAGTTCTCTCTTGTAGAGGGGTCCTTTTTGGCCCCATTCCAATAAATAGGGTGGTTATGGCTTTTTCACTACTTTGTCTACAAGTGTTTGACCGCCCCAATTATTGGAGTGACGCCAAAGAAGACCCTTGTACGGGAAAGCATTCTCAAAATATTACGGTTCATTATTTTCAATGTGAAAATATTTACCTCAGACATATTTGATCAAATCTAAGTAGTGAACAACGCCTAAGTAGTGACATTTAGGGTGGTAATAGATTTTATCAAATCCTATTATAGCAACTCTGACCGGACATTCCTACCGAAAGAGCAGAAGTAATTTATGACTACTAGAATTATAGTGGCTCACTGATACCATGTTATGAATCTTTTGGGGGAAGAGATGAAGAGAATCGGTTGTCTTCTCTCTAACTTAAAAATTCCTCCTGTCCTTCTTATTTGCTCTTTTAGCATTTTTATTTGGTCCAAAATAATTATTCCTTTCAAAAACCAAGAAGTTATTAAATTTTTTCTTCCAAAATTACCCTTAATACTAAATGATTTAACCAAATATCTAAAAAGTCTTTACAATTTCCCGTGAGTAAATTCAAAAGAATAAAGGTTAATATAGTCAATAACATTCTTAATGAATGTTCCAAAGAAGTTTTCTTAATATGTGTGTGGAAGGCTAAAAGATCAAATAAAAAGTACCGGAGGGAGCACTAACTTGATTGATAACTTACTCTATGCAAATGAGCTACAAGAGCGACCTATTTCTAGGCGTGAAAATCCAAAAATATGTGCAAACATCATAAAGGATTGAGACATTGTACTTGTTGCACTATTTGACTATATTAATTATGATAGCAGAGCATTTGTTGCACTCCTTAAAAAAAGGGCATCCCAGTGCATTAAGCTCCCGCTATGCGCGAGGTCCGGGGAAAGGCCGGACCACAAGGGTCTATTGTACGCAGCCTTACCCTGCATTTATGCAAGAGGCTATTTCCACGGCTCGAACCCGTGACCTCCTGGTCAATGCAAGAGGCTATTTCCACGGCTCGAACCCGTGACCTCCTGGTCACATGGCAGCAACTTTACCAATTACGCCAAGGCTCTCATTCAATTTGTTGCACTCCTTGATTTTATTTATTATTATGACCGACCTTGATTTAATGTTAAATATATACTCCCTCCTATCCTTTTTATTTGATTTTTTAGCCTTTGCACACCTATTAAGAAAGCTACTTTGGAACATTAATTAAGAATGTTATTGACTAAATTAACATGTATCTCTTCTCAAATCTACTTATAAGAAATTGTAAAAACTTTTTAGAAATTTATTTAGATCGTTCATTAGCAAAGCTAACTTAAAAAAAAAATTAATACCTTCTTGATTTTGGAAAATCAATTACTTTGGACCAAATAAAAGATGCTAAAAATGAAATAAAAAGGATCAAAAAGAGTAAGATAATCCAGTTTGGTGGTGCAATTAATGCATTACAGGAAAAATCAAGGTTGTTAATGTAGTCAACTTATGCAAGAAATGCACAACTATCATGATTAATATGCTCAAACAGCGCAATAAATGAGTCATGCTCATTCTTTTATTGACAATGGTGGGTATAAGGAGAGGTAGAGGTAGCCCGAAGAAGTATTAGGGAGAGGTGATTAGGCAGGACATGACACATATTCAGCTTACCGAGGACATGACCCTTGATACGAGGGTGTGGAGGTCAAGGATTAGGATAGTAGGCAATCAAGTGCCTTTCCTCTCATTTAAGTAGCAGTAGTGTTATCCTCGTATTTCCATATTCCTATATTTCTACTACTACCTGGATGCTTTTGTTCTGTTTTTTCTATTATGTTGTTGGTATTACTGCTTTCTTGACTTTTGAACCACTGCGTTTCTTTCTATATTCTATTGTGATTGGTTATGCATGCTTGCTTTGAGCTAAAGGTCTATCGAAAACAGTATCTATGCCTGTCAAGGTAGGGGTAAGGCTACGTATACACTACCCTTCCAAACCCCACTTGTGGTATTACACTGGGTATGTTGTTGTTATTGTTGCTCATTCTTTTATTGTGTCGACACAATCTCTGTATTTTTATAATATATTAGTAAACAATACCAGTATATAGGTGTTTCTTGTAGCTCTTTGTATCAAGTTAGAATAAAATAAGCTAATTTCGCCTCTTTCTCGACTTTTCCGGTGACTGTTGTAACCTTTTCAAGTCATTATTCTACTCATTGTACAAAGGGCACGTGCCACTATTCATGTCAAGATTCAGTCAGCTAACACATCAATGTCGTCGTCTAGAGACATATTTCTAATCAATGAGTAGCTATCACCAGGCCTCCATTAAGTCACGTGCCACTATCCAAGTATCCCGCTATCATGGCCACATTACTAAACATTAACTTTATCAACATACCAAACTTGATTTTACAGCTTTTGATGTGCAAACTTAAGTAGTTTCTTCACCTCATTGAGTTTGAAGAGTGTGTTTGAAAACAAGATAATGCAGCAGTGCATTTATCATTGCTATGTTTCCAGTCAACGCTTAATTACCGCCAAGTATAGCATAAAACTGTCCAGCCATTGCCATGTTAGTAAATAGTAATCCTTTCAGCACACTCAACTTGATTATCCAATTGATTTGAAAACCAAAGTTGTTTCAGCGCCTTAATTTTGAGGAAACGTGTTAAGAAGAAAGTAACTGATTCAGCTAGGAGGTGCAATAAACTCACCGTTGTCCAAGTCAAGTTTGGCTCCGAAATAATAAATATAGTAAAACTGTGTAATAAATGCATTGCTCTCATAAATATAATCAAGCAGTTCAATAAATAACTCGCACTCAATCCTTCAGTGATTAACGCATATTTCCAAATTTCCTACCCTACATTCACGTCTATAAATAGATACCTCTTGTAAATCAATTGTGTAAAGTAAATTGTCAATCAAGTTAGTAACAAGTTAGAGAAAAGTCAAGTTCTCTCTTTCTTCCCCTCAAGATTTCTCTCACTTATCAAAAGAATCCTTGGGAAACCTACACTTGCCTAGAACTGGATAGAACAACTTCAGCAAATGGAAATGACATGATTTATGGACGATCAGACAACTTTATCGTTCAAGTTAAGGATCTCATCTGAATTGACTGCTCTACCAAACCATTGTTAGAAGCAAAGCAAGCATCTCTGAATGAAAAGAAGATTAAGCTGGGTGCCTAATCCCCTGATAACTCCCTGCCATTCTGCATGTGAAGGTATATGCTTGATTACAGCTGTTTTTCCCTTTTCCTATGAGCAGTTCCTGGCTATTCTACAACCACCATCTTATGGTTACACTATAACTTCATTTATCACCAGGGCACGTGCGCCTTATAAACAAATTGGCAAAGGATCAAGGTAATACAGAGAGAAACCAAAGAGAGGATTTTAAAAGAATGAAGTTCAATTAGGAAGGTGAAGAATTCCATACTGCTAGATTCTTTAAACAATGACAGAAACTTCTACAATTCATTTCCTAATATTTCTTGGAGGAATTTAATAGATTTTTACTAATGTCGGGAAAAGAAAAGAAAAATTAAAGCAAATTATGTGTGTTTACAAAGACAAGCAAAATTCCAAAGAGTCTCACTCATTATTTTCAGAATGTACTTTTTATCAAGGTATTTTTGTTCCCAAATGAGGGAGCTTCTAGAAGTAACATCCTTTAAAAATAAAGGAGACAACAAAAACCAAGACAAATTAGACATAGAGAATTATCCGAAATTGGCATTTGAATTGAAAGAGACTGATTGTAAAAAGGTATTAAAATACCTTCAGTTTTTTGTTATTTTTCATCTCTGTGTACATTTGAATCTCAATTGCATATACCTCCAACAATTGTGTCCCTTTTTTCTGATCATCAGTGCCATCTTCTTTCTTACAGGATTTGTGGAGCTCTTTCAGAATCTAACAAAGTGGTCAAGTTATGTTCATGAACACCATAGCAAAATCATAGCTACAGATACTAATTTGATCAAGCAAGATACCTTGCTCATTCGTCCATATTCCCCAATGTCAAACCAAATCTTGCAAAGCTTTAGATTCGTCTTGAACCATAACCTCTGTGAAAGAAAGAGTGGGTGGTGAGACCTTAACAAAAAGACACAAGAACTTCGGGAGAAACCTGCGAGCTGACTCCTATATGCCAAAAGAGGAATACACTCTGACCTCATTCTTAGCCTCTTCAAGGGCTTTCAGTGTTGTCTGGTAGAACTCCTGCAGAAAGCTGAAGTTCTGACTAGCTGATCCAGAAACAAAATCCATAATACTGTTTATACACTTCTCACTATAGTTCCGTGTCACTGCTGATTTTATGTAGGTCAGCATTTCTCGATAAGCATCCATCATTTCCTTGAACTTCCCTAGCTTATAGTAAAGCTTAACAGTTTGCTTTAAAGCTTTAAATCCCCTGGAAATAATGATAGTTGGTAACAATATAAAAGCAAATTGTAGCTCTGAAATTCTTAAAAGCTTTGGGAAACCCATTAGTTGAAAGCATAAGGCATAAGACCTGGATAAGAGTCTTCCACAACTTGGATGTGTAAACAATAACCAGCCTTTTAGCATTACAAACTTGAGCTATAACTAGAAATTTTGGATAAGGTATATTAAGCGAATTTGTAATTCCAATTCAGAGAAGAGAACATTAAAAACAATCCGCAGTTAAAAAATAAACTAAAAAGACTCCATCTTCGTTAGTGATTTGAAATTTGTTGCCACATATACACACAGAAATGAGAAAAAGAGTCGATAGAAGAAAGACAGGCTTGTGTGATAGGCACATGTCACGAGTTCGAATACTAGTTGGTGAACCAAGCTTCGCATTTAAGTGAAGAAAGGCAGAGGGCAAGCCCATTATCCTACGAGCTTTGAAACTAAAATAGTGCAATTCTCGGTCATTAAAAAAGATGATGAAGAAGAAGAAATAGAGGTCTGCTATTTGAATCTGACCTCTTTTTCTAAAAACTGAGGTAAGTGATTTTGACTTTCAGGTCATATTAATAGTTGCATGCTGAATAATCGATGAGTTTTTATCAATGCACTGTTGCGTTAGATAATTAGGAAAAACTAACTCAAATTTTAGCATCTCCATAATGCACATAATTATATTTGCCAGGTTTGCCTCCACTTTACTTCACCAGTTTGCAGGTTAATAACAGAAAAGACACTTTTATTAGAATGCAGGTTCATGATGCCATTTCCTATATATGTAATGGCACATAGGCATCACCACACACCATAATATAACTGATCTCGCAAATATATGGTACGCTTGTTAATAATTTTATCTAGCCACCACCCAAGACAGCACGCTGAAAAGGTTACCAGCAATAACTGCAAAATTTACACATTCAACTCCTTACCACTCTGCCTTCTCAGGTTCCATACGTACTACTTCAGCAAAACCCTCAAGTGCTCCTTCAGGATCAGTTTCAACCAAACCTATGCATGACATCATTGCAAAATATTACATGGTGCAGTGTTTAATATAGTGAAAGAGAAGTGGATCAATAAAATAGAAAGTATATCTCTAGGCAGCAATACCAAAAATCATAAGAGGATGCATACAGTAATACAAAGAAAACACTTTTACCTGCCATTTAGCATCACAAAAGGTACCTTACAACTGAATAATACTAAAAGGGAGCATATATCAGATTACCATTACATACACTTTGCTTTTTGCAGTTACTCAATCTTTATATTGGCTGACTCATATAAATAAGCAGTGCAATTGTTAGCCAATTGTTGAGAAGCAAACGATACATCCAACATGCACACCATTCACACTAGCAAGGGCCTAGTGCACTAACCTACAGACATGGTTCATCAGGCGAGACGGAAATTTCATATTCTCGCCCAGGAGATTGAGCCCTTTTCAAAGTTTTCTATGCATTCTCCAGTAAGAAGGTTAACACTTTTACTTTAGGTCTTATACTCTCTAGGAGCGGTCTAACCTTTCAAAGATTTATATGATTAGATAATATACAAAACTTATTACTTTCATTTTATTTGTATTTGCATAATTTTGGCATAAAATGGAGTAAACAGGGACAATAAGGATTCATATATTATAGCCGACCCCAACTTGTTTGGAACTGAGTTGTTGTTGTAAACACTAAACACAACCCCGAGCATAACCCAGAACGCGGAATAATACAGCAAAAAGCACCGAGAACAAAAAAGACATGTACTGTACAATGCCAAAAAACCCTAGCTTTAAACTGGACAAAAAATTCTCAAAATTAAAGTTAAAAACCTTTAGAATTGTAGTATTGATTCTCGATATCAACATCTTGCTCTTCCTGCTCCTCGTCCGAGTACTCAAATCCATAATCCTCCATATCCGCATCTGTGACATACATATATATTCACAAAAATCGGATCAAATTTGTATATAATACAGAAAATTAACGGGAAAAAAATTGAATTTGATGTGATTTTGTGTATTACCAGAACCCATGGCTGATTTCAACAAGGGAAAATTGAGAGTTTGAGCTGTGAAGTAAGCGAATTGTGCGTTCTAACGTCGGATTATGAGAATCCCATTACATCAAATTCAAATCAATATATGCGACTTGCACATGTATATATTTACTAATTGATCAATAGTGTAACGATATATATTCATTCTCACTTAACTTTTATCTGCTAGGCGTCTGTATATAAAAATTATAATTTTTGAAGAAAAAAATTAATAATAATATTTAGAATTAATTTGAAAAATGGTATTTGAATTTAAAATTATGTTTCGACATATATTTCACTTGAAAAAATATTGTAATTTTATGAGTGAGTGGAATTTTTTTCTGAAAAAATAGTCAAAATCACTTTTAGGTTTTTGAAAGCCTCATTTTCAAAAAGAAAATCCAAAAAGTTGCACAATATCATGGACAAATACGATTTTTGGCAAAAGAAATTGAAAAAAAAGGAATTTTTTTATGGACAATATAAGAGCCCGTTTGGCCAAGAAAATTTTTTCACTTTTTTTTGAAATAAGCGTTTGACCATAAAATTTTAAATTTCACTCGAAGATGAATTTTGGAATTTTTTGAAAATTTGAAAAACTCAAAAAACTATTTTTCAAAATTTTCACTCAAATCACTCCTACAAATTTAGAAACAACCCAAAATTATATTCATGTCCAAACAAAACTCTAATTTTCAAATATCATTTTCACTTGAAATTTTCTTTCACTTTTTTTCCGGAATTTTATAATTCTTATGTCCAAACACTAAGTATTTACCTTAGCGCGGTGTAGGAGCATATAAAAGATTTATTTACTTACTAAGTAGTAATATGTATTTTTACTTTAAATTGTTATTAATTAAATTAATCAATTTAGCATAAATACTAATTACGAGTAAGTACTTTTCAACATTTCATAGTGATATTATTTGTTTTTCAAAGTGAATAATAGCATTGGAAGCACAAAAGTGAAATTATCACTGTAACAAATGGACAAACTCCTTACTATATTAATATAAACTAGAACTCAAATAGGATAACAATTCAACACTGAAATTACTGAAATTACAATGAGATATACTGAAACGTAAAAGTAGCTAAAGATAGAGATAAGAAGGAGAGATGAGAAGCTTAGACCCAGAGCAAGGATATGAGAGGAATAGAACATCGCCATAATCCCTTCTTAACTTATAGTCCTTTTTTAACCAATTGCTAATTGGGCTTGGATTTTATTAAGCCCGATAATCCCTAACTCAGTCTCATTCAGTACTTGGGGCATTTGCATTTATATTCGTTTTTTGTGTCACGTTTTAACTTGTGCCCACTTTGCAAAAAAAATTGCAAGCGTACCCGCTTTTTCGCATAACTTCAGCATACGGGGCTGAAGTAGCAAAGCCAATCACGCAAAACTTCAGCATTTTAGTAGCGGGGCCTTAAGTTCAGCTCTAGAGCTGAAGTTTTTATTTTGTAACTGAAGTTTTTATTTTATAACTGGCGAACTTCAGCTCTAGAGCTGAAGTTTTTGTCTTTGTAACCGGAAGTTTTTGTCATTGTAATTGGGAAATTTCAGCTATAGAGTGTTCAATATAGCAACATGCATAGCATTTTGTCCATTGTTGTTAAGCATTTCTGAGCAATCTGGGCAGTGCTTTAATAGCTCATTTACCATGATTTCATCGCCCTCATTGGTTGCAGTGTGAACTGCTGTCGTCCAGTCATATTCACTACCTGCTGGAAGGTAAGCTAAGGATTTCTTCAACTACGACATATCAGAAACTACTTCTTTCAATCCTATATTGAACTATTGCACCTTTTAGCAAAAAAAAAAAAAAAAAAAAAAACATATTGCACCAGCATATCATCTTTTTCTAGGGTATTAGATTAGTAGACTAGATAGAAAATAGCAGCAGAAGAAAGAGGAGAAGGAGGAGGAGAAAGTGAGCTGAAGTTATTTAAAAAGTGGGTACAAGTTAAAAGTTTTAAAATAAATGGGTATAGGTTAAATGGGGGCGACCAAATAGGACGCCCCGTGTAATTTCTTCTCAGTACTTCTAGCCCATAGGCCCTTATGAAGTTAGCTTGGCTCATAACAATTTCACATTATAAAATCGAATATCAATCTTTCTAATTATTTCAAAAATGTTCAGAGGTAATAGATTTCCCACAAAATTTGAATGTGTAACTAAATATTCGATTATATTCAAGGGAAATTTTTTATCCCATGAAAAATCACAATTGTTTCCTCAATGGTGGATTCTTGACTTGAACTATTCAGCATGTTCTATCTACTGTAAACTTTCCATCTCCGTATCCTAAACCTCAAAAGTTATATCAAAGATTTAAGTTACATTTGCTCAAAGATGGGAAGAAGGGTTGTTCTGATGGTAAGCAACCTCCACTTCCAATCAAGAGGTTGTGAGTTCGAGTCTATCCAAGAGCAAGGTGGGAAGTTCTTGGAGGTAAGGATGTCGAGGATCTATTTGGAAACAGCCTCTCTACCCCAGGGTAGGGGTAAGGTCTGCGTATACACTACCCTCCCCAGACCCCACTAAGTGAGATTATACTTTGTTGTTGTTGTTGTTGCTGCTGCTCAAAGATTAAAAAATATTTACACGATCAGATTACTAATTAGAAAATTACAGGTACTACAACAACAACAACAACAACCCAGTATAATCCCACTTAGTGGGGTCTGGAGAGGGTAGTGTGTACGCAGATCTTACCCCTACCCTAGGGTAGAGAGACTGTTTCCAAATAGACCCCCGGCATCCTTCCCTCCAAGAACATCCCACCTTGCTCTTGGGGAGACTCGAACTCACAACCTCTCGGTTGGAAGTGGGGGTTGCTTACCATCAGACTCGAAAATTACAGGTACTATAAACTTTAATTGATGTGATGGAAAAAAAAAATGTAACTAAGAAATTAAAATAAATTGTTGCAGATTTATAATTATCATCTATTCTTCTATTCCGGGACAATGTTTAAATAAAAAAAGAAAAGAAAAAACCACCTTTAGAAAGATAGCTCTTCTTATTATATCATTTGAAAAAACAACATTTAAATTAACTACAACTATTTATGCTTGTTTTCAGCAAACATTTTGCCTGTCAAACCACAAGTGAGAGCTTCATTAGGTATATTCTTGACAAGATGAACACCTTCAGCAAAGACAACTCCCATGCCCATATGCAAATGAGGTTCAATATGACAATGAAAAGCCCAAACCCCAGGATTATCCGCGGAAAATCTTAGTGCAGTCCATCCATAGGGAAAAACCACAACTGTATTCCTCAACGGGGGATTATTCAAATTGAGCGTCGTCTCAGCATCTTCTGTTGTAAAATTTCCGTCTCCATACCCTAAAACCCAAAAACTATGTCCATGGAAATGCCAAGGGTGAATTTCACTGACGTTTTCAGCTAAGATATTGGCATTTTGAAGGATTATGTCAATGGTGGTATTGAATTTCAACATGTAAACACCATTTCCATAAGTAGAATTAGGGTTTGGTGGTGGTTTCATGATATCATAGTCTTTGGAAAAGGTATTTGGTGGAGATTTTGTGTCAAATGCATTGTTTATGCCATATTTGATTGATCCCAAATATGGTGTAGTGGGAAAAACTAAGGAAATGTTGTTGATAGCCCATCTGGTGTATCCTTCAATCCTGTTGTTACAAACATAAATAATTAATTTGAAGCAAAAAAAAAAAGTTATAACTAAATCTCACCTGCTAATAAATTATACTTTTAATCGGATGATCGTAATCACATAATTTTACATTGTCACATAGCAAAAAGGTCCCAAAAATCAAAATCCATATCTCATTTTATATATATATATATATATATATATATATATATATATATCACTTATCGATAAGAATATTTTCATGTGTTTTGCCTAAGAAATAAATCACCTCCAAGTGAAAGGGCATATTACAAATATAGTTTAAGTTTTATCCATTAATAGTACATATATATAGACTTTTACATCATCAAGTAAAATTGATCTACGATTAGTAAATATTTTAACAAGCATGTATGGTAATTTGAAGATAGAGTAATAATCTACTAGTATAATCTGTTAAATTAAACTAATATTATAAAAATTATGATATATTTAAGTTACATCACTGACAATATAACGAACTTATTACACTATCAATGTAATTACCATGTTATAGCAGGTAAGTTTCCATTTTTTTAGTTTACTAAACAAATACAAATTATAAAATATCGTTAGTGCATAAAACATAAACTTAATAATAATATTTTTCTCTCTGTAATAATTTAAGCTAATAGGCCCCACTCGATAGTAAAGATATTTTTTTCATGCCTATATATATGCAATCTATAATTTACGCGTCAAAAATGCTATATTATATTCTTTTTTAAATTCTCAAATATCGTCAAAAAAATTGAGATAGATGAAGTACCTGTTCTGCGTGTTGAGGAGAAAAAGACGACGATCGTGTCGAGTTGGCGGCTTGGGAGACCCCATCAAGCCAAAGATTTTCTTAGAGAAGGATTTGCTGTAGTTATAATCATTCCAAAGAGGTGGCAATGGTGGTGGAAAATTTGGAATTTTTGAAGCAAAATTTGGAATGTAGTTCAATATAGTGAGGCCTTGAGGTGTTTTAGGTTCTCTTCCTCTTACACTTATTGAAATCCAGTAGTTGTTTGAAGGATCTTGATCAGTTGTGAAGAGAATTGAATAGCTTTCACCTGAATAAATGTCCATATTTTCCATAAGAAATGGTTATGTACTACAACATAAAAGAATTCTTACACTATCGATCAGTACGATTTAACATGTTATAGTTGTGTAACTTACTATTTTTAAATTTGGTAAATAGTATTAATCATAAAAATGACATGTAACTAGCTTTACGTGACGTAGTCAGTGAACCCAGAGACGGATCCAGGATTTAAAGTATATGTGTTCTTGTCGTAATCTCAAATTAATATACAATAATAATTGGGTTCATATTTAAATATTTATTAATATTTAGTGGATTTTTTAATAGAAGTACAGGGTCTGCACAAAAGTTACTGGGTTCCCATGAACCCAATAACTGCACTCTAGATCCGCCACTGTCAATGGCGGATGTAGTCTACTAGTTATCGGTTCAATTAAACCCATAACTTT